AGAGACAAATCCATTGGAGGTGGCGTGGTGACGGAGAAAGCAACGCTCCTTCCTTGTGGATTGTTCTTGATCTCTTGCTAGCATTTGCTAGCATCACTTTGATGCTAGCAAGAGATGAAGAATGATGAGAGATGCCATTCGCTGCTGATCGGCACACGAGATGTTGTCGTCTCCAAGAATGATGTTTGTCAGTCTAAAACACACCGGCTTTATGTTCAATTCTTTTCAGCGGAATCTGAAGAAAGGGAAAAAAACAACAACATACAGGAAATCTATATTTAGTAAATTGTCATGATTAGCGAATTTAACTGGCTTTATTTATTTATTTTAGTCAGTTGATGATCTCAGCACAGCTTTGGGCTATGTTGCTTCTGATGGCATAAAAGCCTAATTTTGTTTTCATTTTGCCAGTGCACATCAAAATGGGTTTTGTGTAATAGACAACAAACAAATATTTGTGAATTACACTACCGCATTTTCCGCACTAAAAGGCACACCTAAAAGCCTTCCATTTTCTTAAAAGCTCACAGTGCGCCTTAAAATCCGATGCGGCTTGTGTTTGGTCATTACGGTAATATTTCGACCCCAAAATGGCTCCTTGCTAGAGACATGCTTACAATGCAGAGTTCAAACTTAAGTTGATCGGTTTCGCAGTTGAACACGGAAATAGAGCAGCGGCAAGAGAGTTCAACATTAACGAGTCAATGTTATAACTTGCTGTTGGTTAAGTGAACTGTGTCGCTGCTTTATTAAATACATTTTACTGAAATGTGGTCGCTCTTGTTGGTGTTTCCTTGAGCGTAGCTCCATCTAGTGGATGCATTGTAGATTGCGTCTTATAATGCCCAATGTATGAAAAAAAAATTACAAAATAGGCCATTCATTGAAGGTGCGCCTTTTAGTATGGAAAATACGGTACTTAAGTACGTAAGAGTTTTACTACTGATACCGAAGTCAAGCAGTTGAATTGGATTCTTCATCTTATCCATCCACCCAAACATACGACATGATATCACTAAAATGTGAACTCCCAACACCGGATATCATGTTACCTTCAGCAGCGATGTCTGATTGCACTTCCTGCAGCTTGTTGCCACAGGGAGGAGGCGGGGCATTCCTTTTGGCCCTCCTTACGTCTGATGCAGTTGATCTCTGTGGAGGAGCCATGTTTTAACCCTCAGGACATTCATTT